TTTCGAAGATGATAGTGGTGAGCCTCTCGAAGTGGATGGAAGTATCAAAATATATGTTGATGCAGAGAAGGCAAACTTGAACATAACAGAGTTAGACGAGGATATGCTACCGAGATTATGGTTTCTGAATCCAGAGAGTGGTGAATGGGAAGACATCGGTGAGCTACGTTTTGAGAGTGGAAGCCGACGGAAACGTAATACTGGTGACGATATATTAGTTGTTGGAGACATTGAAGTCACTGGTATCAGTTTAAACAGTTTGTGGTGCAATATTGATAGTGTTCAAGAGCTGGACGAGGTATGCTTTGTTAAAGTAAGAGTATACAAAGATGAGCAGCTCACAGTTCCAATGAATGACGTTGAAGTCACTGCAATAACCAATGACCTGGATATAAGAACCACAGGCAGATTTCGAGGAGAAAAGTTTAACTTCTTTGAAAAAATTTTAACTAACTCTGGTCAAACTTGTCCACGAGTATTTTGTAATGATGATGGCAGCAAGTATTCTCTCAATATTCGTGCTAAGTTTGACAGCAAAGCTTTCATTCCAGTCCATCCAAACAATGTTTCCTCAACTGTCCATCCCAACTCGTGGCCAAATGAAATATTAGAGTCCTATTTGCCGCCAGATAAGTCGGATGATACGGGATTCATCACAATGGCTGGGAGAAAGAACCCAAATGAAGATGGTCCAATTTATTCTGCTACTCGACCAAACTGGTCTGATATGTATGACGCACAAAGACGATGCAATGCTGCTAACAACAATCACAATCATTTAATCTTCCGACAAGCACAGACAGAGAACTTAAATGATCTTTATGAATTCAACACTCATCCATACTCTTCAATAAATCGCAATGAACAGCCAAGGGTTCCATGTTCATGGTATCCATTTGAAGGACTCAACAAGCGCGTGTGTTTCATTAAGATATTGGTTGATGGACCAAACGTCAATAGATTCAGAGTCGTCAGTGCAAAAGGCAGTAATGATGAAATTAACTGTGATGAGTTCGGATTCCGGGTTGCATCGACACCAGAACACCAACTTGATATTAATAATGGAAAGTCAGCAGTTTGCATAGAATTTAAGTGCAGTGGTATTGTTCGGGAGAGTGTGGTTGCTGATCCTCAGAATATTTTTGATGGATACAAAGGAGTTGATGAGACATCCGTGAAGGTGATCCCAGACGAAAGTTCAAGAAATTGTTTCCTGAAAACTGTTAATCCCGATTTGGAAAGCTTCGTTGACGTGACGTATCAAGGGACATCTGTCTTTCATTTTACTGATAAAATTGGTGACATTGAAAAAGAAACGGGTGTATACAAAGCGTGGGATTGGAGAACTACAAGCTGGGAAAAAGCGTACTCAACTTGTAATGCAGGAGGCGATGAAAGCAAGCGTGGTGACAACCCAGAGCTCAATTGGGCCTTGCATTATGAATGTCCATAACTAAAGGAAAACACGCTTATAATTGTCTGAACCTGCATGGTTTGTGTGAGTCAATAACATTAACTGCATTACATATTCAGAAATGGAAATTACATTATATATACATATGTCTTAGTTTTCTTTCAAATTATGTTTACCAGTTAAACTTTACTAGGTTTCCTGCTCTGTTCTGGTATTGGCCATTTAGCCTGTGATGACGTATATGTAATAGAAATTGTCATTTGGAGAGTATGTAGTGAATAGTATATACTTCTTAAGTGTGCTTGTTAGTCCCCGTTCGGACGAAGTCCGAAAACGGGGACTTATAATTCGGTCTCCGTCCGTCCGTGCGTCCGTGCGTCTGTGCGTCCGTGCGTCCGTCCGGAGTCATATCTCAGAATCCCTTGGACCGATTCCGTTCATTCTTTGCATGTGCCTAGTACTTTGTGTGGGACATATGCACATGCAGTGGTTTAGCGATTCGATTCAAAATGGCCGACTGGCAGCCATCTTGTTTTTTGAAAATGTTGTATTTTGGACATGCTTTGTCAGTTTTCATTCAAACTTGGAACATAGATTATACATGTTAGGATACATGTCCATGATGATTTATTTCACAATTGGATCAAAGATGGCCGACTGGCAGCAATCTTGTTTTTTGAAAATGTCGTATTTTGGACATGCTTTGTC